ATCAGGTTTAGAGGGCTCTCCATAAGCCTGTCAAAGAGCAAAAAAGAAATCTGAAAGAAGAAAGAAAGAACCCACCCCTTCAGCTCAAAGTCATTGGGCAGAGATATTGCATGACCACAATTCAGAAGTAAGGGAGCAATTTCCCAGGAAAGAGATTTGTGTCCTGCTTTGTGACTGGAAAGAAATGTCCAGTGTTATCATTTGAGAGATTACATGGTGACTATCAAAATCTATTTCGATTTCTAGATTAGCTTTAAAAACCCTGCAGAGCAACTCTGGGAAAAGTAGATGTCAAGAAGTAGGTGTGAAAACTGACCTCAGTTCTGCATTCAAGTGTCATTCACCAAATCCATAATCGTATGATTATTTCTTGCCATTTCAATGAAACATTTATATATCACCACCACAACAGGAGTAACTCAATGCAGACAGCCAGTTTGGAAATAATTTGTCATGAAATTACATGTGAAAAGTGAATCAACTGATGCTGATGAGCCTGGGGTTAAAAACAGAAGAGGACGATTGGGTTTTTGATCAGATAAGAGAAATAGATGTCAGATGCCATTAAAATGAAATCAAAACTGGATCTGGATGGTGCTTAATACACATTCACTGAGGACAGTACTTTCCATCAGGTAGGTGAAATGCCTCTTTTGTTTGACTTGTTAGAAAACCCTCATGAATTCAAGTAAGTCACTGTCAAGAAACTTGGGATTTCAGCCTGTGGAAAACAACTATCCAAACCTGGTTGAATTCAATCATGACCAGAAATAAAAAAAAAAAAAAAGTCAATGGAGATAAACTTCCTTAAACCACAGAATGACTTTTCATTGGGAAATGTACAATTTGTAGGTGAAGGAACATTACCTTATGCAGCGGTTTCTTCTTAGCACAGTTGATCCCCCCAATAAAGACCATGTTGGGCATCACAGGCCTGACGTACTCGAACACAAAGTCAAACCTCAGGATCCAAACGGCGGCGGAGTCCACAAGTTCCGTCAGGGACACATCCCTGTGAAGAACTTCTGAGGAAAGCTGAAGTGCTTCCCCAAAGAAACCGTTGCAGTACCCAAGCTCCAGGAGGGAAATCAGGGCGTTTTCCACCCTCTGGAAAAAAGTCATGTGGTCTGAGTTGAAGCTGAAGAGTCTTGGGATGTAGGACAGAGGGCTTGGGGACTGTGGCGCTGCAAAGTGCAGGTTGCAAGGGAACCCCCTCATGATGAAGGCAAAGGGAAGGGAGAGATGATGGGCAAGGATGACCCCGCACATGAAGATCGGATCCGTCAGGATGACATCAAAGCCACTTTGATTGAGGAAACTCAAGGTCTCCTGGCTGCGGAACAGGTCCTTGCACTGCCCAAAGAAGGTTCTGAAAGTTTTCACCGAGACCCTGTACATTGCAAGGGCATTGAGGGGGAAAGGCTTCTCTGTCAGGTGCACGGCAACGTATTCATGGAAGGCATTATCGAGCTCCTCCAGGGTCTGCCTCACCGGGTACGTGACCACCTTGTAGGCCTGCGTCGTCTCCATCTGCCAGCTCACCTCAGGAACCAGCACCACCACCTCATGTCCTCTCTTGCTCAGCTCCTCCACCACTTCCTGCATGCTCAGCCAGTGGCTTCCCACCATGGGCACCACCAGGAGCTTCCCTCCATCCGAGAGGCTGGGCAGGAGAAGGAGGATGGAAACACAGGCACAGCAAAGCCTCAGAGCCATATGAGCTGGAGTAGGAGCCGTGGAAGAGATTTCTCCTGCAGGTTGTAGCCTGAAGATGCTTTGGAAAGCGACTGTAGGCTGAATTGTGCTGCCCGTGCCTTTTGGCAATCCTGTTGTTAATGATTCACAACTTTGGATTGTGGGTGGTTCATTTTGCATTTTCCCTCCTTGTTTGGAAAGCCAAGGTTTTGTGACCCTTTCAGTGCTGAGTCACTGCTGCTCCTTGGTGTTCAGTTAACTCCTTGACGTGCAACTCGGATCCCTCAGGACTCCACATCTCTGTTGTGTCTTGTGTAACAACTTGCCCAGGACCCAGGGAGGCAACCTTGCTGTGCACAGCTCCCAGCCCCACAGGAACAAATGCAAACAGCCTCTCCATGTTGGGGACAGGGATCCTCAGGTGATTCCTCCAGGGATGGAGCAGGAGACCCTCAGGACAAGGCCCAGAGCTCTTCTGAGCTGGAAGGAGTCTCCTCCTTTGTGGCAGGGACACCACAAAGAGGTGCTGAGAGAGGCTGACCTCTCTGTACAGCCCAAGTTCTCACTTTACAGAGTTGTTTCCCGGCCTGAGAGGTGACCCTCAGGCAGCTGAAAGCTCCTCCCGACCACGAAGAAGACCAGCACTAAATGCGTTTTAGCAGCCACTCAGCAAAGGAGCAGGTTCAGCACAGACGTGATTTCCCCAGCCCCACAGCATTGCCATTGATGCCAAAATTGAAAAAACCCACACCTCAGGATATTCAGAGCTGCACAACCTCCATCCCTCAGGCACACAACTTATCTCATGTCCCTTCACACCACGGTCAGTGCACCAAAATGAATTGTATATTGCTTTCCTCAGATCAGCCTTATTTATTTTTTGTGTTGTACCAATGTCTTTAATTATTTCTACTGGAAAGGTGATAGAGAGCAGTTTTATGTCTGTCATGGAGTTACTTTACCTTTAAGGGAGTTGGAGTTGCTGGGAAGTGCTTGGAGTCTTTTCTCCTGACCAATCATCGGTCATTGCTGAGAACTGACAGCAGTTTAGGCCATTGAAAAGTAAGATCAACTTGTGAACCCTACCTTAAAGTGTAAAAGCAGAGCTCTCTGGGTTCTTTTTGTTTTCCTGGCTGTGAAGGGTGGCGGAGCTCTAGGCTTCCCGTCCCTGACCAGGCCATGCGGCCGGGCGGGGATGGAGTTGGGCCTGCCCCGTCTCCCGGCCGGGAGATGGGGGGGCCTGGGGAAGGTTTTCCCCGGGCCGGGCTGAGCCGATCTCTGGCTCGGCTGCAGGTTTTGCTGTAACTAATTCACTAGAAACTGCCGAGTGAAGAAAGAGAGAGGCCCTGAACTTGCAGAGGGCTGGAGCAGTGACCACACTCCCCAGAGCAGCTATGAGGAACCTTCCATCGCAGACGGCTCCAGCTCCTGTTCGGCAGAGATCCTTGAACCATCTACAAAAGCCTGGGCAAGATTTTAACTCTTTCATTACCCAGATGAGACTTGCGGATTAATCTTTTTATCCAGAGAGAGAGAGAGAGAGTGATCAACATGAAAAGAGACTTTATAAACTACCAGTGACAGGAAAGAAAAGAAGCTTCAGAAGAGGTAGAGAATTAAGAAGATGCTTTAATTAAGCTGAAATATCTCCCTGTTAAAACTATGGAGATGGACAATGAAGTCCTGAAAAGAACTCCTTTAATTCATGATACAAGATCT